GGGAGGATACAGTTTCATAAAATTTAGTTCATTAAATTTACGGTATGATATAGTATAACACATCTACCATAGCCATAATATTTTAACATTGCACCTAAACAATAGAAAAAATTAATTACCAAACATTTGTACTATGTCACAAATTATTCGTTAAATTAAAAACTCAAACCTAACTGTAAACAATCTTACTTTGACAGTTCTCATTGTGTATCACAGCTTTTTGTTGCTGCTTAGTTCAAATTAGCTGTTGCCATATAATATGCAAAAACAAAATAATAATAGTGCTGTACCCTGTTGGGAAACCTTATAACTTTTTAATACTATTGCATATTATAGAACCAACTTGTAAATTTGAAACAGCTGACTAAATTCTTTAATTCCCTTTAAATATGAATACTCATAAGGTTAACATGGGGAACCACATAGCCACTGGGGCGGAGCCCAAAAGGATTTTTGAGATAAAAATATGATTTAATGTTAATCGGGAATGTGAGCTATCATCATGCCAAATTTCAGCCCAATCCGTCCAGTAGTTTATGCGTGATTGAGCAACACACACACAAACACACACACAAACTCACAAACTTTCAGATTTATAATATTAGTAAGATATATATATATATAAAATTATATATATATATTTACATATATATATATATAATTATATATATATATATATATTTATATATGGATAATGTTTACTTTCGGGCCAATGACATAGGTAATTTGTTTATGTTTATGATCCTTACCGCCTTTCTGTTCTAATAATCGTCATTACATCTTAACGGTAAGTTACTAGATTTTGCGAGGTGTCACAACAATTTTACACAATTCAATTCATAAATAAATAGGTTTAATTATCTTTTTATCTTATTCTTATTATAGAATTTACAAGTTTTTAAATTTTTGCATAGATTCACACTTGTCAACCTTGAAGTGCTAATAGATCGTTGACTGACTCGATATAAAATAACAGTTAAGAATTACATAGATCAAATTTAAAAACAAAGAACAGCTGTTTATAAAAAGAAACTCAGCATCTTTTTCGGGAGTAAAATATTTATGGTTGCAATACCATAGATAAAACCACGGCCACCTTTAACTCCAGGCCGCGGCCTGGTGGAATTTGCAATGTCGCAAGTAGGTTTGTTAGGTGTCAGACGTTCCATAAGATAACATGGCAGGCAGGTAACATCCGCTCATTAATTCGCACTTTATTTATTTAAGTTCATGAACATACAGTTATTAAAATATTGAAAATAAAACATACAGAATTGAAAACCAAAAAAATATTAATTTGAAATCTACATTTAAAGCGGAGTCAATATTATCATAGTCCAGTAACCAAATGAAATACACAAATAACATTAGATGCTTCCAAACAAAACAGCTGTTACAACCCTACCTGCAACGTTGCCACTTCGAAGGCCGCGGCTGGAGTTAAAGGCGGCTGTGGATAAAACATACTCCCTTAGTAGATTTCCCATCATTGGAACAGCTGAAGCCAATTTTATTGTTAGTTGTGTCTGGTGTAGCCTACTGTAGATGTCATGTTTTGTTTAAAATTTGTTTCTAATATTTTAGGGTTATATTCTCATTTTTTTGTTATATAGCTAGTGGACAAATTATTGTTTATGATTAGATAGTTTTATTTGGTTAAACAAGGTTTTAAATTACTGAATAATAAGAAAAAAATTGTAAACAAAACACGACATCTACAGTACAATAGCCGCAGTTAGTCTGGGCACGCAGACCCTTGTGTACTAAACATCCCTCACGCCAAAGCCATGAAGACAACGCTGAGGCACTGAACAACCCCAAAGAGCCGTGTGGGCCAGATGTTTTTGGAAATACTTTAATACTTTTTTTTGAAATGGCGACCATACAAAGTAGGTATTTTATGATCGCTTTTATAAGGCGTTTCTTTTGAACAAATCCTAAAAAAGATCTTGTATTTAAACTGCAATTCCAAAAGTTAAGACGTTGTTAGTGACTAAGGCCGACATATTTCTTAGACACAGCTGTTAATTAATAGCCCATACAGCTAATGGCGACTAAGGGATTATGAGTATGGTAAGAGTAGATGAATAGAGGCCAAAGGAATACAGAACAGATCACACTCACTTGGAGTGATGAATAATATTTTCCAGTTAGTTCTGCTATTCAACTTAATTTGAAAGTCAAAAATTACACAAAAAGAATATCATTGAACTCATTGAAATTTATGACTGTTATTAGTTTTAAAATAACTCCGACAGCCTACTGTAATTGCAAAATTTCGAGCACTCAATAAAAATTATGACGGTTTTCAGTTTAAAAATAACTCCTGTATTAGGTGAAACCCGTCAAAAAATCTATGGTTACTTTTATGTTTTATCAACGCCAATCCTGCTTACTATATAAATACCCCGCCGCAGCAAACCTGCAGACTTAGCGAATTTCCATTTGCCTGATTGGATTTAAACTAAAATGTCTCCTTAAAAATATCACACTTATTCCCTATTTAAACAGAATTAGTTTAGTGAGTACTCAGGTTTGCTGCAACAGGGAGGGTAAAATTTTTTTTTAATGTAAAATGTTAAAAAGTACTGTGGTTTAGTACAAAATGTATTTTCCAAATTTGATCAAAATATGTTCATAAACAAGCAAACTACAACAGTTGACTTATTCTCCATAAGAATAACATGGGAATTTAAAATTACAATTTTTTTGAATTTTCTCCGTAACAGTTAGGCGCATTATAACGCTTCAATATACTAAATTATTTGTTTTTTTAAGCTCTACAAAATGGTTTAAAAAGAAATTGTGAAATTTTGTGTTTTTATGGTCAAAAATGGGAAAAACCTATTTTTACCCCATAAAACCCCCCATAAACACCCGTTCCCATAGTCCGATCATGCTGGTTCGCGAACTCATTCAAGTTTATCCCGCCTTACACCTTTAAACCAAATTTTATGAAAATCGGACAAAAATTACTCAAGTTACCCATCGTGCGGATGGACACATATATCTAATATATAAAATTCTCGTGTCACAGTGTTTGTCTGCAAACTCCTCCGGAACGACTTCACCGATCGTTATGAAATTTGGTGTGTAAATTCTGTAGGTATGCGAATCGGACGTAAACTATTTCCCGTTTCGAAATTCTTAAAAGGGCTCCGCCCCAGTGGCTCTGGAGTTTCCCATGTTAACCTTATGAGAAATGGAATTAATGAATCTTAACAGCTGTTTCAATTAAACAAGTTGGTTCTGTTCTATGATGTTCAATAGCATTACCAACAGGGTGCAGCACTATTATTTCTTTTACATATTTTATGACAACAGCTAATTTGCAACCAAAAGGTGAGTGAGCGTAGCGAACGAACTTCAACCTGGAGGCGAGTGAGCGTAGCGAACGAGCTAACCTGAAGGCAAGTGAGCGCAGCGAACGAGCCCCAACCTAAAGGTGAGTGAGCGTAGCGAACGAGCTCCAACCCAAAGGTGAGTGAGCGTAGCGAACGAACTTCAACCAGGACGTGATTGAGCGATGCGAACGAGATCATCTTGAAAATTAAACGTAACGGTACTTTCTTTCCATCGGTCTGTCTTAGGGGAAACCTATAACTTAGGCGATACGAAGTTCGCCGGGTCAGCTAGTATATATATATATCTATATATAGATATATAAAAATTTGAACGAATGGTGTTTTTGGCCTCTGGGGACATCAAAATGAAAAAGTAAATCGGTCCCGGGCTTAGGTCTTACCGTGAGACCTACGGTAATAGCTACTTCCCTATAGGGAAATTCGCTAAAAGTAAGGTTCTATAAAGGCATTCATACTACAGTAGGCTTCCTCTTATCTGGACTCCTCGGGACGGAGGCCAGTACGGATAACGGTTTTTCCGGTTAAACTGACATCCCCCAAAATTCATTGTTGGTGACGGTGAGTTAATGCTGTTCAAAGGTTTATTGCGACATTTTCCATAACAATGGTAAAAAACAATACACAACGTTTTGGGATCTGGAATCTGATCCCGTCCTTAGGTGAAAAAAACTTAACTAACAATACGCAATCGCTCAACCTAAGTTGGAATACACTACAGAGGGTAGCAGTCCAAAAATATGCACTGTATAGCAGTCAAGTCATGATACAACATGCAAATAATAACAAACAAAAAAACACTATAGTCTATAAAAGGTGTAGTGTGAACAGCTCACACAATGGAACACTAACGGTGCTATTATTAGTGTTCCATACGTTCAAGGTTACAGTGCCATTTTTGAGCAGTCGGAAAATGAAAGGCGGCGACGTATACTCGCCAATTGACCGCAAAGGGTTAAGCGATTACTGGATCGCTCTCGTTTTCCAGCAAGGCTTTTCTGGCATCGTTTCAATGTAGTTGGAGTTTGAGACATTGCTCTAGATGGATAAATAAGTCCTAAATGGGTAAATTAAATAAAAACTGCATAACTGCACAACTTAGTACACAATAAAAAGTATTGTACCGGTAATAGGGGTAAATAAAATAAAACCGTATAACTGCACAACAACTTAGTACACAATAAAAAATATTTATGTTTCCGACTATGTAAATATTTTTTTTTGACAGATTCAGTAAATTCTTTAAGTCTTATCAGCTGTTTGATTAAAAAGTAGTGAAAACTTATGCATATGATTGTAATGTAAACAAATCTGGGGGAGGAACTTCAAAGACCACTGGGCAGAGCCCCAAGGGAGTTTACCTCGTTTCTCTTTTGATGGCTAATGTACAGACCAAGAGCTTTCTTTAGACACCTCTACCGAGTTTCTACGCCCAGCAGTTCTCTCAAATTAGCAGTGACAATGAAAAGCAGTTTCAAATTAATCTATAGATAATTCATTTACTGTACTTGACAATTACTCGAGCAACAGGTATACTAGTATCAGTATCTTATAATGAGAGAAAATGAAGATGTAGTTTGCACATAAGCCTGAGAATCAAAACCTGACGGATTTGGGTTATAGAGAAAACAAACTATGTATATCAACATTACATAAATATATTTATTTAATGATTTATTTTTCACAGGTAACAATTAAAATTTTGCTCAAGTACTGTTATGAATAATAAATATAAATATAAAGTTAAAACTGTACAAACAAACTCCAATGACAAGACAAAGCATCCTAATTAAACTTGGTCATCAAGGAATTGGCCCCAGCTAATTAACTAAAATTACCAAATTGTGATGGGGATGTCACCTAGTTTTAACCCAAATATGAGTGTAGAATGAACGAATGGGTGAGATGCCTTGCAGAGGTGTAAATAACAAGGGGGGGATGGCGCTGATGTATAGGCGCTGATTGTCCACCGTAATCACGAAGAAAGAGTGACGTTGCTTCCGTGACCGCGGGAGTCAAACATGATGTCTGCAAGAAGTAAGAATATATTCATGATGTTGACGCTATCTCAGAAATAGTTGAAGTCCTTTCTGTTACTGCGGGAGACGAAGATGATGTCTACAAGACTGAAGAAGATATTCACGATTTTGCCACAATCGCAGAGAAAGTTGACGTTGTTTTCGTGGTCGCAGAAGATGAAGGTGATGTCTTCAAGACAGAAGAATATATTCATAATTATTCCGTTAAAAAAGATGACGTTACTGTGACTGCGGGAGACGATGATGATGTTGACAAGCTACAAGACTGCGGATGATGTACAAGATGTTGCCACGATCACGGGAAATGATGACGAATTTGCACGACCGTGGGAGACGACATGTTCATGAAGATGGAGATATTCAAGATTTGGCCGCGGTCACGGAAATCTATGGCGATATACTGATCATTGTACTTACGCCTCTGATATTGAATAGCTTGTTACTGATTGAGACCAGCTGTTTCATTAGCCAGGACCATTTAGGCCCAATGATCAAGGACAGCTGGGTCTAGTTTCAAACAATCCAAAAGCTACTAACTTTTCTCAGGATCGACCCAGCGACCTGTTGATTACTAGGCGAGCACTATTACCTCTCAGCTACCCAACTATATACCTATTATAACATCATGATTATAATATACACAGAAAAATAATTAATTTACTATAAAGTAAAATTACTTACAATAGTTGAGTACAGCTTAAGCTTTGAAAGTACTGTCTATTTAAGCTATCTATATGATTTGGAGCCAACATATTGTTCAACAGTTGTGTAGTTTTCAGTGTATTGATCATTGTCTTTGTCAATTACCCTTTTTTGACAAATTAAGGCGCAGATAAACGTTAAGAAAATTGACATTATTCCCTCCAAACCAAACATTTGATCAAATAATTATATATCTTTTACAAGAAATACAATTAAAATCTTCACAACTTCTTAATTTTGTCCTATTAAATTGTTGTTTGAATGATGATTAGATGTAAATTAGCACCTATTAAATTTGTTCAATTAAAAAAATTGGATTATTTTTTTTATTTTCAGAGAAAAATTCTAGATTAATAATGCCATAATAATGATCTGAAAAAATCTATTTAGAATTAGGACTGTTTGTAAGCACCCTAGCAAATGCTACAAATTACAAATTAATGATTCATTAAATTACCTTAGATTTAATAAATATATTGATAAAACCTTATGAGACATTTTGGCAGTCATAAATCATTGTTGTTGTACTGTAATATACTAACTTTGATTATGACTATAACGATATCCTTAATCTTCTCTGTTTGTAACATCTTATTACAATTTCTAATAGAATAATAGCTCAATAACAGTCTTCTAGTAGTGAACCTTTAAGGAGTGTTTAGTTTTTAGACTCGGATATGTGTTTCTCCCAGTCCAACCAGCCCCCTTTGTAGTGTTTGGCACTGAAACATTAAAAACAATGTTGTAATAAACGGCAATACAATTTATTGATCAGTAAGGCTTTGCAATATTGTTCTAATATCGGATACATTATTTAATTAACAATTTGTTTTGAAATATAAAAAGACGAGCTGCTATACCGGTGGTTTGCAACGGGAAGAGGACACGAGAATACTGTGGTTCTTCAGATAGACCTGCTGCATGAAATAGTTACACACCTATTATTAATTTTAGAAACCAATTAAGTAGGCTATCTTTCATCACTAGGACGTAAAGTGACTCTTTTCGACTGGAGCTGAAGTTTTATAATCGAGGTGAAGCCGAGGTCAGAAAATGAGCGAGGGCTGAAAAGACACTTTTTGCCCGTGTGATGAACTATATTTTTTGTCATATGAACAAACAGGCCTATGACAAAAAACTTAATCCTACTACTTAGTAGCTTAGCAGTAAAATATTATTTCTTGAAATTTATATTAGGCATTTTAATTTTATTAGGTAACCATTACAGTGTTAGTAACGTGAGATATAAGCAAAGTACACAGAACCAAAATATTAAGTGTAAAACTTCAAGAGACGGTCTCTAGTGAACTCCGTGCAGAAGGAAGAATTGAGTGCCATTATACGCGATTCATTGAGTTTGGACCAAAAAGGATTTACTTATTTGTGTGATTTTATGCTAATGGTATTTCTTTTTTAAGGAACTTTTTACTATCTAACGTCTAACTTTTTTTTAGATACGGTCTATAATTGAATAGAACAATCACATATGGCATCTAAATCCAGAATAAAACTTGCTTGGATTCGAACCAGCGACCTTAAGATTTAAAATAAGTTAAAAGCAACCTTAAACTAGTTTTGAGTGTTAGGAAATACTGTAAAAGAGGACGGAGGAGATGATCAGTTGTAAGAAGAAGTGTGTAAATGCTCGATTTTAATTACCAAGATAGATGAATCTTTGCTAATTAATAGATTAAGGCCAAATGACAAAGCATGTGGTGTTAAAACAATAGCACTCGAGGATATGAAATGTCTGACCTTATTATGCCTGATAATGAATAGATTGGTGAGAGTATTATTGTTTGGTATTGGAGCGTACAAGTTAAGACTACTCTCACACTGATAAATTTATTTACAACAATTCATAGCTAAGCACATTCAAATTCTTCAATAGAAGTTAGAAACAGCCTGGCAATAAGTTATGCAATGCACATGGATTACTTGAATTTTTTTTGAGTTGAGACATTTTGTTAAGATTAGGCTTATATGCAAAGGCGTGTCCAGGGTCTTCTGGGGGTACAAAACTTTCCGGAGGGTTAGGAGGATATGGAAAACCCCCATACCAAATGGTGGTTCTGGGGGTTGGTCCCCGGACATTAAAAAAATAAATGGAGCGAGTTTTTAACAATTTGCAAAACTTTTTACATCTTGTAGTAAACGTTAATCTGCTGTTTGTGATTCAGACATACCTTACCCATTATTATCTTGCAATAAATATCATAATTTAATATTAGAATTAGTTTTTTTAGAGCAACACCCAGTGGAACTTCACTTCACAAGTTAAGTAGGCCTAAAACTTAAAGTCGATCCCGCGAGCACAAGAGGTCGCATCTGGTCAAACAAATTTGAGGTCTAAGTATCGCGTTTATACAGGGTGTATTCGATTGCATCCATGCATCGATCTTGTATCATGACGCAGTTAAAAAATCCTAACATGTTCATCATACAGCATAACCTCGCTAATCCGACCTCTGATGGTCCGATTCCTCCCTTGGTCCACCGACCGTGCCACCAACACAATAGGCTTCCGCTAACATAACCGCATTGTCCAAGAAAAATGCCCAGAAAACTTTATAGATTGTGTTTTTTTTACTCTAATGTCAATGTGTTGAAATTCGTAGTATATTTAACCATGTCTGCCCATTATTAATATTAAGTAGCTCCCACATTATTGTTTTTGAAAAATTCCAGTTCATTTGACAACAATAAATTGGAAGCAAAACAAAGGAATGTCCATCAAAGCTTCAAGGTCAAGCTATCCTTTTGCACTGACAATCGTCTGCTCCTTAGGCATACACATCATGAGCACGACACATCTGTCTGCTGTGTGCTTGCTATGTCACAACATTTTGTGATTGGGTATTTGATAATCATGACAACTTTAGTAGCCTGTGATTGGGTGATTAGTAACCATGGCAACTTGTTGAATGGGTGGAGGAAGAGAAACTCAAGAAAGAATAGAAGAACAAAGAGAAAGAATAAGCGATGTTTTTTGCCATTGTTATCTGTATCGGTGTATTTTACGACTGTTATTATGCTACTATTATTTTAAATACTTTTTTTATGCATTGTCTAATGTTTTTGTATTGACATTGTTCTGTCCTGCAATAGCGTAGCAGTAGCCTATGACTAGCAGTAGCTTACTAAACTTTCTATTGTTCTGTTCTTTATTTTGCTGTACAATGTTTGGCAATTTGTTTGTTTGATTAAAGTAAAATAGCTGTGATTTTAAACGTTACAGTTTTTATTGCTGAACCAAGGTTAATGACATAACATAGTTATCATGATTGCGCAATAGCCTACTATAGTTCGGCTGCTTAGAAAACGACCTGCGCGCTAATGCTAAACCAATGCTGGATGGAGGAGGTTGCTTTCTAAGCGGCCGAACTATAATTGTATTTTTATGATGTAATATGCAAATTCACATTGAAGTAAATTCATACACTTAGTATTAGGTGTTGTTTATGAGTTGGAAACAACTGGTTTATGTCATGTTGGATTAACAGTGGTTATCAGTTATCCGTGGTCTGGTCAAAATATTACGTTTTTCTAAGTTTTTATGTTAATAAACAAGGTCCTCTGATAATCCAAACTTTTTGCTGTTCCGACCATGCTCCCGGTCCCGTAGGTGACGGATTAGCGAGGTTCTACTGTACATAGGGGTACCAGTACTAATTTTGTAAAAAAACCTGGCTATAAAGGGAGCAGGGCTGTGCGAATAGTTCGAAAAACGAATCGAATCCGAATCTTTTTAGAGATTCGATTCGGATTCGAGAACGAATCTACTGTTTCTAACTGGATTCGGATTCGGAATCGATATTCGAATTTACTGGTAAGAGATCCGGGTTCGGATTCGATATTCGAATTTCTTGGAAATAGATCCGAGTTGGGATTCGATATTCAAATTTACTAGATTCTGATTGAATATAATTTTCAATATAATTTTTTAGACACTAAAAAACTACTTGTGCACTCCGATTTGCTGTTGACTGGTTCATGTTAGGAACCTGACCAACTTGGTGTTAGGTTTTAGGCACATTAGTGTAGGTCGCATTTGAACCCTATCTTGGCTATCAGTAAACTTAACCTCACAGTGTTAGTTGTTACTTGTAATAGTAATGCAGACATAGGCTTGTGTGGAGGATTAATTACCGAGGTGTATAATAGGCTGGGCCTATGTTTTAGACTACACAAATTGGTAGTCCATCACTTTTAGCGAGTAACTTAGGCCTAGGTGGTATGCCTAACTTATGCCCAATTTTTTAGTTTCAAAACTTCAAATAGGTAGGCCTAAATTTTATAACTTTTTTATTTGGCCCATTTCAAGAATTTTTTTAAGCAATTCCCTAAATTATTTCAGCCCCAGAAAATGTGGTCTAAAAATGTGAAAATTGGTACTGCTGACTTTCCTCGGATTTGGATTAGACTCTGAACAGGTTTAAATATTCGGATTCGATAACAGCTTTAAATTTCAGATTCGGATTCGATCCAGGTTCGATAATGGCTGTAAATTTGAGATTCGGATTCGACCCAGATTCGACTCGGGATTAATTAAAATATTCGGATTCGATCCGGATTCGATAAAATCTGTACAGCTATGATTCGGATTCGAACCAAAATTTCTGGATTCGCGCAGCCCTGAAAGGGAGTGCCGTGGCAGGTCTACAAGGGAACCGAGACCCAAATCCCCATTATAAAAGATTTTTCCCATCCTCATCAGGGAATATGACTTTCAGGACAAAATAACATCGTACCGGTACCATTCCCCTACAGTTTGTAATTTTGACTCAAAGGCACAATAAAACTTGTACCAAGAACTAACTTGAACCTAGAACTTACTTTTTGAATCCACTTGCTAAAGCCTTTTCTAAAGCCACCAAACTTCTTTTTCCAGATCTACAAGAAAAGATGACTGAATCCTCCGTTGTTGGCTTTTCAAAATTGTACTTCTTCTTGAATTCATCTTCTGGGGTGTTGAATGCTGTTTCAATGTCACCAACTGTAAAAACACCAGTCTTTGTCATCACAATGCTTTGATTTTGAGATAATTGTGGATGGTCAGATCAAACCCAAACAAAAATTATACATTTTAGGGCGCTTTTGGAGTTTAGCTTTAGTATGGAAAAAACAAAACAACAAAAACTACTTCATTAGTGGCGCAGTTGTTTGCAGCTCTCTACCCGACATACCAAATTCCTGGGTATCCCTAAAACAATGTTTACACAACCTTCCTTTAGGTTCAATCCGAGATGTGAGTTGATGAAGAATGCGGTTAAGTTGCGTAGGGTTTTCTCTGTGTGCGCCCTATTTAGGACCGAGGCTTTTGTTAATTTCTTACAAATTCATTTACATAGGCTATATTGATAAATAAAATTAGTCTATTATAAAATTTGTTTTTAAAAGAATGTACACATCTCCTACAGTACAATTATCTTGTTAGGCCTGCATAATTATTTTATTATCAAATACATTTTTTCTATTAACGTACAATTGCTTCATTGCATATGAAATCCACACTCGCGCCTTTTGCCATAACACCGACCTTAAAAAACTAAGTATGGGTTTTGAAATATTACTCATAAAAAGTGGTTGAACAATTTACAATTTAAATATGCTATACAATGGTTCTTTATCACTTTAATTAGAATTTAAGTGCAAAATTACATGATAAAATCAAATTAAATTGAACAAATTTGTATGATTTTGCGATGACGAAAAAGCTACCGCATGCTCCATCTCATGTTTTAGAAGTTAACCCTTTTAGCTCGCTCTAGGGTTAAAAGGGGTTGTACAATGTGTGCTATGGCAAGAAATTCTAATATATGGCTTAAACTTCTGAAGTCAAGAGCTACCAAAATTTAGACGTGACAGCCAACAACCCCTTTCTCTGAATGGAGTGGGGAGAGGGGTCACTTCAACTTCAGTACCCCTTGTCCCCAGCAATCTTTTAGGATCCTTGTCCACCTTTTCGCGTGTTTGGTTAATTAAGACAACAGATTTTTTAAAAATTTATCCATCTATAATTTTTTTAGGTTAGGGCCTGTGTCTTTTATTATATACAAATTTTAACAAAATATTTCCACTTTTGACAAATAAATAAGCCAAAAAAGATATATCTGTGTCCCCCCTGTTGTGTGCAATCCTTAAAGTCACTATGCCGTCTCGACTTCCACCCAAACCAAATACACTGCTTATTTAAGATGGGTCATCCTCAGCTAAGGCTTACATTAGCGAGATCAACATGGATTGCATGTACGAGATTCAAACCCGCACATGTAGAAAGACTGACGAGGTCTTTGGCGTTGGCTACACTTGTCAGTGCAACACATTAGCCAACTGGTAGCCCCCAGTAGTTAGACAGGAGGGTCCTCCCCCGGGAAAAATGTTGAAAATAATAACTGTAAACTAGCGTTCTTATGCAATAGACATAATAATTTGTAAAACATTAATTGTTATTTTAATTCGGTTTATTATATTTAACCTATTTGATTATGGTGTTTGAAAATAAAAACATGAATTTATATTGAGTTCTTTGGACAGAACCTATCCTTATACTTAGAAATCTCCTTGAAAAAACAGAATAGCTTTACCAAGTGCACGTAAATAGCAGGAACTGAGCAAAGGAAGCAAATTTACAAATGGCGGGTAGATGTCGGTGACGTTTAAGCACTTAGTTAGAAGATAATGCCCGTTTGAGCATTATCTGAGGCATAATTGAACAGTACAAACATAAATCGTTTCCTACTTTTACAGGATTTTTGACATTAATGTAATAAATAACTAAGTTAAATTGAGTTTTGGCGGGCCTAGCAGCTTTAACTCAACTCTCTGTTCAAAACTTATTACCACCTCACCACCCGCATACTTTGTAGAAATATTTATAACCGAATTCATAGTTCATTATTAGCACTAAACAACACTTCTAAAGGAACAGTGGTATATTATGAATTAACAACTCGAATACCCCTGCGCGTGGCACAATAAACACAACCTCACAAATCACTACAGTAGGCCTATTCAGTTATTTGACTGATCAGTGATCAATGATGATGATTGTGTTGATAGAGCGCAGCACTCAGCGCTTGTTGTGGCAATAGTTAAAACTACTGTTTGGACGGAGTCCCAAACATCCTACAGTATACCAGTTAAGCCTGATGCAGCGCTGTGATTGGTCGAATATTTTCAGTATTTGCAGTTCATATGGGAGTCCTGGCCTCCTCCCTCCCCTTCACCTTCCTTCTGCCCCTACCGCGCTTTTTAACAACATAGTATAAAAAATCCTAGCTTGGCGCTGCCCCGCCCCCTTAATGCTTGCCGCCCTGGAGCGACTGCTCCACTCGCTCCACCACTGAACTGAGCTATCATGCCACTGTCGGCTGAACGGTTTGGTTGCCAGTATAAGCACACAGGTGGGTTAGCAGAACGACTATCTCACGGCAAAATGCAGTAACGGGCTAGACCCGTAGACCCGTGAGTCGTCGTCAATGGGTTAATCTATACTAAACTGACATTATATTTTAGATTAAAATTTTACAAAGTATCATAGACAAAGACCCAGTACTATGACGCAAATCACCTCAAGCCGAACCCTGCTAAGACCCAAGTTTGTGCCTTTCACCTAAACAATAGAGAAGCAGGCCGTGAGTTGAATGTGAAGTGGCGGGGGTCTTCAGCAATGTCCTACACCCAAATATCTTGGTGTCATACTGGACCGCATACTGACATTTAAGGCGCATTGTATTGCGACAAGAGATAAAGTCTCAGCGAGGAATAATATCATCAGGAAGCTCACCAGCAGATGCTGTGGTGCTAACCCTAATGTCCTCAGAACCTCAGCTTTAGCGCTCAGTGTGTCGGGATCGCCCCTCCATCAATCCAACGTGATGTCGGACGCAGAAAGGACTAAGCAAGAGACAGACCCTCGTCACCCATTACACGGCCACCAACCTGCAGAGCGACAGCTTCGGTCCAGAAAGAGCTTTTTATCACGGACACGAGTCCTGGATGGATTACTCTCAAGCAATCGGGTGGCAAGGTGGGAGGCCACGTTGACTAACCCTCCCATACCAGCCAGTTAGGAACTGGCTCCTGGAGGAGGCCTTCACTACTCAGTGTGGAAGATCCTATATCGAATCAGGGTCGAGGTACCAAAATGCAAGACAAACATGCAGAAATCGGGTCTCTTACCAGACGAAGAAAACATCTTGTGCGCGAGTGGTGCTGTTCAGGATCCTGGCCATCTGCTGATCTGTCCACGCCTAGACCAGTCTTGCACATTAGATGATCTTTTACAAGCGAATAACAAAGCCATATCGGTAGATATTTTTTGGAAAAGCGAAGTCTGATTTCCGGACACGGAAAGGAAGTAAGTATAGACAAAGAATCAAATATAGACAGACAGCATTGCTGCGGTTAGTATATATTCTGGCGTCCAACGCTAGGATTGCCGTGTAGATTCGGCACACGCCACTGCAGCGTCAAGTGCTAGTGAGCGTTGCCATGAGAAGTTGGTAGTGTGAGCAAGGGTTGCCAACTTCTGGACTGAATCGATTTGAAATTATAGAGTCAACGTACACAGATGGCCATATGCTTACTTTTATCTTGAAACCCTAACACTGCTCCACCACACTGACTCTCAAGTCACTATGTAATTTTTATATAAATAATTTTTATAATTGAGTTGCTTACGAGGAATATGATGAGCTCCAGGGATTACTCCAGTTTCATCCAGTTCCTTCTTCTCTCTCACATCAATCACAATGTTGTTCGGGCTGTTCTTAGTCTCGATCAGCTGTTTGTAGTCAAGGTGGCGGAACTCATCACTAACACTTGTCGACATGTCTATAGGCTTACTTGATGTGCCTCCTGTAAGTATGCATGTTTCAAAAATCATGAGGATAAAAATCAGTATAGGTATATTTCTTAATATATTCATTGTACTTGTAAAAACCGTATAAATATTAGAACAGAAGTAATTGACTCTCATTAAAAAAACTGGATCCACGTCAGATGAATAACTTAGCAAACATTTTGTATAAATTAAATAAAACATAAAAAAGACCCTTCCTGTAAAATTTGATATCATATCCGCATAGATGACAGAATGATTAATTATTGTTCAACAGTTTGAATAATTAGTGAGAAGTTAAGTAGGTTATCAAGATGTATTGAGTCAGTCACAAACATTACAAGAGAGTTTCAAACCCAACCCGACATAGTTTTTATATTAATAACAACAACACTGCACTTACCCATGGTCAATCTCAATCTATCATATCATATTAGAAATTAGAAAACCATTTACTCACACAGTTTTGATGATTCTTACCAAAACTATCTCTGCCTTATCAGTAAGATAATGTATTGAAATAGTAAGTTATTGACTACGATTTAAAACAGCCAGTTGAACAACCTTTGTAGCCTTATAATTGACATGTAAACAATCCGTAGTTAACATGTAAATTTTAAGTACTTTTAAGTACTGTGTTTTAACTCTTGTATAATGTACAGTAGGCCTACAAGTAGACTTGGCATGTTAACATCTTCATACAAAATACATAATATTTCCCTGGATTATTTTAGGTTTTTTATAATTCAAAAAGTTGATATGGAAATAAACTTATTAATGAAAAAAAAAAAAATATTTCTCATTAGGCAAATAATATTATCAAAAGCCTTTCTTAAAGTGCAAGTGATTCCTATATGATTTTTATGCTTCTTAGTTTGTGACTCTATCGAAGTACGTAGTGACTTGTAACTTATAGTTTTTTGTAAATCAAGAATAAACTGAATGGATCAGCAAATGAAAATGAAATAAACTTGATGAATTACAGTAAAAACAAAATTGTACATTTTATTTAGAACAGCAAAAGTATTAAGAAAAAAAAACTAATTAAAATGTAGGCCTAAGAGTAGATTTAAATTCACACCATTGAAAATAGGTAGTCATGAGTCAAATGACTCCCAAAACAATCTTGCACTTATCTAGCTTATACTACGGAACAAATAATAAAAATATGGATTGTGGACAGTGCCAGATTTAGGGTACTTGCGGCCCTAGGCCAAATTACTTGAGCGACCCTCCCCCTATGATGGAAATTCCTTGCGATCGCGGAAGAAATCGTGAAATCATGTCAAAGCAATCATAGGTAACCGTGACTGCGGCAAAATCATGATTATTCCCCGTGGGCTGCAACTCGCGAGTCGCGACCATGGCGAAATCGTGATCATATCCCGTGAGCTGTAACCTTGAGGACATCATCGCTGTCACCCGTGACAGCAGTAAAATCGTAAACATCTCCCGTGAGCCGCAATCACTGGGACATCATCATTGTCACCCGCGGCCGTGCCGAAATCGTAAACATCCCCCTTCGGGAAGCCATCACGGGGACATCATCATTGACACCCCCAGCCCCGGCAAAATCGTGAAAATCTCCCGCGGGCTGCAATCACGGTAACATTATCATCGACACCCGCAACCGTGGTGAAATATTGAACATTTCCCGCGGGCCGCAATCACGGGGGCATCATCGACACTCGTGACAGTGGCTAAATCTTGAACGTCTCCCGCGGGCTGCAATCATGAGGACACATCACCATCACCCCCAGCTAAATCGTAAACGTGTCCCGTGAGCCGCAATCACGGGGACGTCATCACGGATACACGGGGAAGTTCGGCACTGTATTACAATGAATTTGGAAGGCATAAATTCATATTAATTACTAAAGGTAACAAAATTATAATTTTTATTCACTATTGTCAAGAACCATACTGTAAGTTTATTCCACTGAATGTATTTGACTTTACCGTGTTTGGGGTTTATGAAATAGGCAATACTAAAGGAGATGAGTGTAGTTTATTTTGTAAATAATGCACGCACAACTTCAGAATAATGATTATATTTCCAAATAAATAAGTAAGCCTTGCACTTTACTTTTTTTAAGATTTTAGGGATTGTCCGTTTTAACTGACCTTTTGAGTTATCCGACGTAGGTCAGCTCCCGCTAGGGTCGGTTAAGAGGAGATCTACTTCACTTTGGATCACCTGTTTAAATTGAAATTAAAATTTTTTAGGAACATGTACGTCCGTTCACACAGTGATAAATCCATGGTAATCTGGGAGATTGAAGACTACACTTCATATTTAACTTAATATTAATTTAAATTACTACAACTACATCGACTTATTAAAAATTACTTTTGATCGGTTGACTCTTTCCGTCTATTAGAAAAATATTTAGCCGTTTCAAGTTTATTGTTATCATTGCTAATTAAGATGTAGATTCAAGTGTAATTTAACCTAATATGGATGAAGGATGAGTGTAGAATGGACAGAGATGCCTTGTCAGCTTTGTTATTGAGATTTAATTTTTTTTTTTGTCAGGGCCATTCATGCCTAAGAATCATATTTATGTTAAATATGACAATTTCTTTACTTCAATTAATAAGTAAGCTACTTTAGTCACACTTAACTACGGCTTTGGAGTAAACCGTGTAGTAATTAACTGATCAATGCTCTGTTGCTGCACAGAAAAGTAAGGTACAGAATGAACTCTGTACCTCTGTGTAATAATGTTACACTTAAGTGCTCTAAACAAATTCTTTAAAATCCTTCTCCTACAAAAGAAACCTCTTGGTATTAGGCCTATTACCTTGACTATCTTGCTTGGGCACAGTAGGCCTACTTTCCAGCAACTAGGTATCTTGACAGTCAGTATCTGAGTGCCAAACTCCCGATCAAAGATGACATCTCATGCTACGCAAAGCGACCATTGTAGACTGTCAAAAACTCTACATAGCTTTCCTGTATCCAGCAATGAGATAAGTTATTACATTAGCGTACCAAAGGGGAACTGAGTACTAGGGCAAAATGAAAATGTCAAAATGAAAATGAAACCTGGCGCAATCTATCTGGGAATTCAGTCAACAATAAAGACATCAAGTATCAAGTAGGCTTACCGGTAAGTCGTGTCTAGCTCTAGTTGCTGGTGTCTAGGGCAAAACAAAACCCAACAGTGCCCCTCTTTTTTTTAAGAGGTTGGCGAGCCTCTTTACCTTGCATTTGCCCATACACATAGACTACAGATCTGTGCGTGGAACGTATCCAGCAAAGCAAGAAGTGAGCTGGTACAGTACGAAAGTGAACTGTACTGATAAATTTTAGTGGCAGTGACCAGGATCCGAACCCACGACATCGCTGCCTTGGCTCCAAGTCCGTGACGCTACCAACTGAGCCACCGACTCACCTAAACTCTTGCCCTTATGTACTAAAACGCTCATGGTGGAGGAAAACCTGTGCCCTGTGCAATAGGAATTTCCACACAGTGCTCGGTGCTCAAGCTCTTCTTTGCTTGTCATATGTATGTTTCCAGCACAACATACTAGGACTAAAAGGTCACAGTCATCCCATAAGCAAGTTTTCTCTGTAGGCCTAATTTACTTCTCTGTGGCTACTGCTCTGAAAATTGCCATCTGCAACGAGGCCAGAATGTCAGGAAAATATACAATATTACAAGGTTGTACTCGGAAGCTCAGATATTTGGGTTTCATTAGGCCTATTGGAGTTTCACGATAGAAAATGCAAATGATGACTTGAATAATATGTTCAATTAATAACCAAAATGTTTACCTCATAAAACCCCCTCTATACTTCCTTACCCGTAGTCCGTTCATGCTAGCTTGCAAACTTGTTTAAATGAGGTGTACACGACACACGTTTGTATCAAATTTAATGGAAATCAGATAATATTAACTCCAGTTATCTAGAGAGACATATATATACAGGTATATAAAAATATAAATTTGAAATTTGAGGTGTTTTTGGCATCTGGGAGCATCAAAAGGAAAATCGGCTCCGAATCTAGCTCTTAACACGACACCTACAGTACTTAGCTTGTTCACTACCTACCTACATGGAAAATTCACAAATATATTTATTGTGTGGTAAAATAATTCTAGTGACTTATTGAGTTTGTGACAACACAGCCAGGGATTGAAGGCTCTGCTCTACAGTAGGCCTACTGTACCTCATGGGTTGGTTAAAAATAACATCACTCAATGTCTAGGTAAAATTGCATGATTGGGAAAATATATTAGAGTAGGTAACTTCTTAAACAAAAAAGAACAAGTACAAATAGGCTACAAGTAAATCAAACTAAAAGTTCAGATTTGAACACATTTATAAAGCTAGCCAAAAAGCAGCTTAACTAATGAACTAACTATATAGTCCAGGCAATGAAAGGATATAGAGGGAAATGTTTGGAACACAATTTCTGACTTCGTAACTTTGTTTAGTATAGTTAGGAGGTTAACATACCAAAAGTCCCCGCCTCTAGCCCTTGTGCTGTGGGAGAGGGGGGGGGCTTGAAGGTACCATTTTTCGGTTTTTTGCTGATATCTCGGAAACCATGCGTCTAAGCGAAATTATGCTAATATACAAAATGAAAGCTTATTAAATTTCCAGCAAGTTTGTAATTTACTATTTTTCGATACCTTGTATGGTTTTTGCGTTATTTGCCATCAAAAGTTTGTACATTTTTTCCTCATGTTTTTTGTTCTTTTTGACAAGTTGCCTCTTAAACTATGCACCCAAAAAATAAATGCTGGGCATAGGGTTGTAGAAAATTAAATTCCCTTCAATAATATATATGACTTTACTAGTTTACCTCCTTCCGTTCAGATTTTAAAGCAAATTAACCGTCAATATAAAAAAAATTAAATTAAATTAAAATTAAAAAAAAATTAAAATCTAGTGTTGAGCAAGGAATTTGAAGTCTTGCAACAGCTGTTGACTAACTTACTTAATATTTCAATTTATCACCTTACACAGTCAACTAATTGGTTGGAACATTCAATATCAAGTAGC